CCCACGTTCTGCAATATTTTTCATTGCAGCTCCGCTCCTATTGGTCGTAGCGTAATGTTTTATAGCTTAAAGCCTTCCTCGACAAATGGACTATCTAACACAAAAGGATTTTTTCAATTAGAACTAGTACTTCCAGAGATTAGCGCGTTCAAACAAACAAACTCTTAATAAATAAGCTTAATAGTAGTAATAATATTAATAAGTATTAGTATAAGATAGGCCATGAATTTTTTGTACTATTTTTTAGAATATTAGCATTAAGTAGTAATAATTTTTAATCACAATACATGTACGGAATCGCTACAGTTTTGAGTTGTATTCGCGCTTGATGAGTACTTTCAATATGTGCGATATACTATTTCACCTGTTACAATATTTACCTAGACCGGACAAACAAAATTGTAATATGAACATTCCAACCCAATTTAATTAAGTTTTGCGCAGATATATGTAATTTCATTTATTATGTACCTCATACTCATTACATTAATGTTTGCCCCATCAGTGTGTACTATTTTTTTTATAATGTTAATAAATGTAATGTTTATAGACTGGGAGGGCGGGGCTCCCCATTAACTAACAATTACTAAACCCCCCCCCCCCCCCCCCCCCCCCCCCCCCCGGGTTAGGAATTGTTAGTTAATGTGGACTGATGATCCCATTGCCAGCAATGTCCACGTTAGTTTAATCTCCACATGGTTCTCCCTGGAAACAATCCTGATAAATTCCTAGTGAATTTTCCAGGGTGGGCTAGCTGATCTGACCTTATAATACTACCCTCCACTGGTGCCCCGCCAGCGTAAACCGGCCTTTGAACTATACCACTATAGTCCACTTATAAAATACTTAATACGGAAAAGCATAAAAAATGTAGAGTTGATGATATGGCCATATGTTGCAAAAACCTCATACTGAAGAAGTGTCTTTCCATGGCTATAATGAAAATAGGATGAGGTAGGGCACTATCTAGCTGTCTAATGTCCATAGGAACAACTGTGCATGTAATACTTGTATATGCATTTAATGTTAGACATAGATTACCTATATTAATAACGAAGTAAATAATGTCTTTTTAAAAAAAATCTGTTAAGTTTCCTGCCAGTTCTTCTCAATTAAATCTATATATTGAATTGGATGTTAAGGGAAAAAATATTAATAAATAAAACCTGACTTGATCAGCCCTGTCAAAGGACACTGATTACCTCAAGATTGGGAAAACCATCCCCTGGTTGAAGAACAGTGGAGTAAGATGAGAATGGTACATATCATTCTAAAAATAAGTAAATTCATAAAAAAATAAATAAAAGTAAAGGAACCTGTGCGTAACAGATAAATATATAAATATAATTGTTTTTCTGCGTTAGTAGAGGAAAATAACAGAATACATAACAATAATTAGTATTATACAATAATAAATACACATATGTGCATAATTCTTGCGACCTTGACATTAACTATGTAGAGTACCTACTCTATAATTATGGTACCTACCATTAGGTATAACTAGGATTCTTACAATAGTTATTATATTATATAATACCACTTTACCATTATTAGTAAGCAGTTTCTGGAATGTTCTTATTTTATCATAACTCAACGTTAGAAATGTGACAGTAACTCTGTCTGTCTATCATGCTTTCACACCAAAACTTCTAAGCCAATCTTATATATAAAAATGAAATTACTTTTGTTAGTCTCACTCAAACTCGAGAATGGCTGGACCAATTTGGCTAATTTGTTTTAGTCTTAAAATATTTGTAGAAGTTCAAGGAAGGTTTAAGTTGTGAGAAATTGCATGGAAAGTAGTAAGAACATAAATTTTATTTTCCCATACAAACTGTTACGGATATTTACCTGTCAAACCCCAATTTGTGAATGCAACATGCATTCAGAAATTTATTGCATAACTAAACTTCACAATTAAATTTGGTACACAGATAGTCTAGACCAGTGATTCAAAGTGGTCTATATCGACCCCCAGGGGTCTATGACAAACTGCAAGGGTTCTACAACAGCGGTCATCTTGTTTTTACTTTATGTTTTTAACACTAAATTTTACTACAATACCAGGTAACAATGGGGGGTCTAACCAAAACCGAAAAAATTGGCAAGGGGTCTACAACACAAAAAGGTTTGGGTACCTCTGGTCTAGACCCTGAGAAAGAACATACTACTTTTTAATATGAAAAAGTGATGTAGAGGGTTATATTATTGTTATATATTTTTTTAATTGTCTATGTTAGATGCACATATCTTTTTGTTCACTGAAATAGAATTACAAATAATAAGAGGTTTAATATCCTATATGAGTTTTGTTGTTTTCTTTATTTTGTTTGTTGATTATTATCATGTACATATATATGGTTATTTAATCTTATCTTAAAGTATTTTGATTACAAAAATAGAATATGCTACTCATTTGTATTGTTTTCAAAAATCCCAATTAATAATAATTATTCTAGTTCAATGCAGAAAATTAATAACTAGTCCTGGGTTCCCCTTGGTGTTGATTACCTTTTTTTTATTATGAAATTTACCATTTTTAAAAAGTTAAATTAAATATACTTATATCAGTATGGAATACCATACCTTTCCAACTCCGAAATAATTTCACAAATTGGTATTTTGATTGTTGAGTGTTGTAGAAATATACTTTCCTCAAAACAAGGTATTTTTTTTACAATAATATATGATATACTATCTGTGCTCGCTGTTTTACCTACATTAAAAATATAGCCTATGTGTTATTCTAATATATAAACTATATTATTGTTAAGTTCATTAAAATCCATACAGTACTTTTTGCCTGAAATGGTTAATAAATCATCCATACATCCATTTAGGCACACTCAAAAACTTCCACATTTATAATATTACTTAGTAGGATTTTTTAAGAAATCCAAAATATTCATATATATTTCATATAAAATACCTAAGATGTTATAAATATAGTAAAATGTTATAAACATGTACTGTTATGACCAACATATTTTTTATACTCACATTATGTGTGCATAGTGCATATGGGACACAGTCACCTAGATACATAAAATAATAAATGCATTTAATAATGTCTAGTAAGACAAATTCAATATTGTCTACTAGGCACTGCTGTATCTAAACTGTGTCACCCCACCTTACATTTTCCTATTGTTATTTAGTATATAAGATCATTATTTCTATGTACACATTGTCAGTTTATCATCATCAGTAATATACATCGTCTCGACCAGCAACATAGTAATATTCACCCGCAACAGTGGTGACCCCGACGTGATCTGGCCGACGTGGTCGAGACGATACCTGGGAAAACGACGAGATCAAACAAGAGATCTCTGTCTGACGGCATCCTGCGCACCACCAACGATTGCACATTTCCACCGGCTTCCCAGAAGCGGGTCTCACCGGCTCGGAAATTCAAGAGGCATAAAAGTCGTTGGCAATACTGCGCAACAAGGATCCTGCCGTGCTACTGACCCCCCAGTAAACACAACTGCCTGCTGGATATAATCTCTGGACGAAAAATTGAAACTGGAAAAATAAAGCAAAAATGCTGTCTACAAAAGTACAACCAACAGTCACCGCCGACGTCATTGCACACCTGTCGTCACTAATTGCGACACTGCGATCAGAAATTGCTGATATACGCGAAAAGCGCTCGCCACACACAAACAGACGCAGCAACTACCGATCTAGGTCAAATTCGCACCTACGGTCATTGCATAGTCGGAAAAATGACTATTATTTATATTATATCATCGCAAAATATAAAGAAAAGGCATACAAATGTGACATGCCGCGCTCCTATAGACAACCGTCGGAAAACTAGATTCGACGCAGAATAAGACGGAACGCTGTGCTGTTCATCCGTCTAACCGCCTAGCTATAACCGACTCTAACAGTGGCTATAGAATTTTGGTGGACACCGAAAGCAAAAATCTCGGTGAATAAAACACAAGCACAGACCAAAGAGAGCGCTAGCGAAATCAAATTATTCGCCGCAAACAATTAATATGAGCAAATGCGAGTTCTTCACAAATGAGTTAGATTTTCTTGGTTATCATATAATGAGCCAAGGGATGAAACCAACGCAAGAAAAATGGCAAGCAATCGACGAGTACCCTAAACCCACGACAGTCGAAGATTTACGTCGTTATTTGGGTATAATGAATTTTTATTGTTACTAAAGTGCATAATATCTTAAATTTTACAGTTAAATTTTATAATTTTTTTTTGTGTGTAATATATATATTTTTTTCTCTCAAGGGGGGAATATCTATGGGACACAGTCACCTAGATACATAAAATAATAAATGCATTTAATAATGTCTAGTAAGACAAATTCAATATTGTCTACTAGGCACTGCTGTATCTAAACTGTGTCACCCCACCTTACATTTTCCTATTGTTATTTAGTATATAAGATCATTATTTCTATGTACACATTGTCAGTTTATCATCATCTGTAAAATACATCGTCTCGACCAGCAACATCGTAATATTCACCCGCAACAGTGCACTACTCACTTATATAAGATAAACAAATCATATCTTTTTATCAAAATACAGCATAAAGTGAATATATAAGTATAATAAAAAACTTACTGTGATAACTATTGTAGGTACTTTTTTTATATCAGTATTATTTCAAAATAAATTATATTAAATACATGTCAATATAGTTTACTAAATAAATAAAGTGTAAAGGAACATAGTCCAAAGCTCTATAATCTAAAATAGAGACTTTTTTTAAAAAGTGGGTATACCAAAACACTTAGAAAAAATACTATAAACACCTGGCTAAACACTTTAGAGCATCTTATAGGTAAATTGAGCACAGTGATTATAAATTACACAGATAAAATATATAGAATTTATCGAGCCAATTAACAGGGTTAGTTCATTCACGCCTTCACAAAAATTGACAGTAGGTACATAAACCTTGAAAACAATGCGAGAGCGCGCACTAATACACCATACTATCATAATGTTTCTCTGACCTTCAGCGCTTTGGTTCAGCGACGACAGAGCCCCGGCCGTGGAGATGTCCTTCCGTCCGGCTTTCGGCGGGTCAGAATCTGAATCGTCGAAAACCAGCGTCCGAACCGACTGTGAACAGCGACGGTTCATAGCCACAATCACTGAACACACAACTGCACTGAGATATTCGCCATTTATCACGTTTCTCTTAACGATGTGATCACAACGCGACTATTTACATCACGAGCGAACTATGCGAATTAATTAATAGAGCGTAATTTATTAATAATGTTATTGAATGTATTTTTTATGCCATTATAAATATCACGACAGACGGACACAAGAGTCGTGTACAAATCGAAAATTATCGCAACACAGTCGACCACAGTTCACGACAGCAAAAGATTTGCTTGACAATTCACAGAGTAGACAGTGCGAAATACATGCTGACAGCGAATGAAGGAATCGAGAGAAAAATAATGGGTACTCTGTGAATATACAGAGCACAGAGTAAAGACTCGTATGAATTTATTTCTCCACCAATCCGACCAAAACGAAGCATGAGAGACCAATCAGCGTACTCATGAAAATTTAGACCAATGATGAGACAGCAATTTTTAACTACAGACTAATATTAGCCAGTGAAATTATTACATAAATAGGAAAAGAGAAGCATAATAAGCAAATCCAGAAATAATTAATTAATGTTGCTATAATTGTCTCAAAACATCACAAAAAATATGTTAATAATTTGCCTGGGAATGCGTTCTGATATAAAAATGGCATTTTCATGTTTAGATATTTTCATTGATTCTTTAGGTTTACATATTCAAAGTCATCATACGGATACCTAATTTTACACTGGGCTTTGTGTACACAAGCATATTTTTGTAATGAACTATTTTAAAATTATAAATTCTATATGTTGAATGGCAAATATTGAATCATTTTCAGTAGAACACCTGTACGACGTATTTTACTTTGAAAAAGTCTATATCGTCTAATGTGTATAAACACACTTATAAATTACAATTAAAAGCAATAAGTAAAAATAAAATATAATATTAATTACAAGCTTACTAACTAAGTTGAAAAATACTAGTAGTATTTTTCTAATTTCTGTTGATGTTCTAGTATCTAAAATTGTTAAATCCACAAACTGAATTGGTACATTATTAAAACTGTTCCTTTCTTTAATATTTCTGATAAAAGTAGACATATTCCTTGCTAAAAAATGTTACGAACATTAGTATAAATATATTTCTTAGTCTCTCGAGCCCGTTAGTACTTATATTGACAAAATTATTTTCTCACCTTTGAAAATTATTCTTGTTTGTGTATCCTTATATTCCATTATACAAGTTTTTGCAATATGGCAACTAAAAGGTGCAAATGAGATAAAAGTATTTCTCAGTACTTTAAAACATTTAATAAAATGTTGTTAAGAGCGCTATCTATTGGCATTATTAAAAACTTAACTAAAAATTGTTATTTTATATGTTGGCAATACTCTGGAATATTGCTATTATATAGTATTGTGAATAAAATATAGTACACTTATTTACCATTATTTTGTAAAGTATTCAACTTTATATAAATATAGCAATTTTATTAATTATATAATACTATTATTGCCATAGAATAATGTTGTAAATTTAATTGCAATCGCAATTTGCCACCGCCATCTATTGTCACTTATTATCAAAATAAAGTTGTTCCGTCAAAAGAAACGGAAAAACACGAGTGTGCGTCGCCTCAGTAGTTATCAGCTGAATTATTCGGCTAAAATGCCCTGGCACGGGCATACGTAGTCGTCGGTCCGCCATTACGACGCAACCGAGACACGTTCGTCGTATTTAGTTAAATATTTTCGTTTATAAATGAGTAATAACGCTCATGATCTAAGTAATCGACTTCTGAATGCGTTGGATAACAATTACAATGTAAGTTTACGACATTTGTAAACCGTAAGTCTCGTAAATGGAGTTGTGATACGAAAACGGTCCCCACGAGTCCGTGACACCCGATTCTGTAGCGATTTGCTCACTTGAGAGGTTGTTCCTGAAGTTCAGAATGTTCTATCTTTTCGATGTTAAGTGTTAAATTTTGTAAGCTCTAAAGTTTAGTATGTGATGTGCAATTATGAAGATAAAATGTGGTGTGTGGATACGTGAGTGAGCGAGCGCAGTGGGGCCACTGAGGCACTGACGTCGCCAGCGCGCCGCCTCTCTTCCCTCCGTCCCCAGTGCCAAATATTTTGCAATGTGAAAGTATGGAAACGTGCCACGCGTGACCTCTCCTGTCGATTTTCACAAAATGCGTCGCCAGGGTGTCGTTGATTGTGTGTTTTTCATGCCTTTTGACCTTACGTGAGTACATAGCTTAGTAACTCGCGGCGCGGAAGCACCTCGCGGCAGGTGGAGTTGGGCCGTTTTTTGCCACATTTGTGATAATTTGTTGTCGCTATAGCTATAGAGGTTTTTGATTGTGCAACCCTGGGCCAATAATTTTGTGCAACAGTATACCTTGCACTTTAGTTTTCTAATTTGTACAATACTTATAGTGTGAAATACTCTGTCGTAAAATATGATTACATACATTTATATATTTTGTCAGAAATATTAGGATAATTCTTTTTCATCAATAAAGGATTATATTAAAAAATAGAATGATGAAAGAAATTCATTATACATTTTTATGTATAATCTAGCTTATCATTAAATAATTATTATCATTGTTTGATATCATTGTCATGTTTATGGGACTCATTTATTTCAATTGTTCATAAAAATACTTGTTCTGACTGATCATTATAAGTGTGGTGAAGCATTTGTTGGTTATAATGGAATGGTGCAGCCATCTAACTGTATATGCTGGTGGGTTTATCAGTCAGGGTGAGATTATGAGCATGAAGTCAGATCAGTTAACACCTTATGGCAATTTCACCAGGAATTAATCATTATGGTGTCCAGGGAAAAACCATGTGGAGATGACCTGACATGGTACATGGCTCCGATTACTAACAATCCCATGTCTTTCTGAGCTTTAATACATTTGCAGCTGCTACACAATATATAATACACAAATATAGCTATAAATAGCAGCTATACACAAATTATAAATTGAAACTTGATCTACCTCAACAAATCTTTTATAAGAATGTGAATAGTGCCCGTAAAGTATATTACAGTGTATATAATCTTTATATGGAATAGTGTATGTTCTGTTTCAATGGTATATGCTGGCAAGGCATCGGCAGAAGATAATAGGTTAGTTTGCCATTATAGTAATAAAACAATGACTTTCTTGTTTTCTGAGCTACGGAATAAAGTATTATTTTGCTTTCATAACTATCTAGTGCAAATTTATCTCATAAAGATGTAGGATACATAACGTGAGGATTGAGGTAGCCCAGCCAGCCCTTTATGGTGAATTCACTGGGAATTATCCATTATAGTAGAATAGAATAGAAAATCATTTATTCAAATAATTAATTTAAGCATTTTTGAATAGTCATCACATTTTTTTTTAATCTACCGCTCATTCTGAAAGCTGTCTCATCACAAGAAGAACGAGCAAGAAACTTATGTGTTGGTCTTTTAAATAATCCTTGTAAGTTCACATTTTACAAGTTGAAACATATGAATACAAACTATCAACCAGCACTAATTTACTAGTTTTAAGAAGAGACCATATGATCTTTGAACTGACAGGATAGATTCTTAGGAATAATGATAGGTTTTTTTTATTTATATCATGCGATCAGTCTTCCAAAGGTTGAAGGTGTCTTAAGAAATCCTGAATTCTGGTATTTTATGTCTTATAAGAAATCCATATAATCAGGCACTGACAGGTGATTGTGATAGTATTATTAACACTATCTTCATCCCCCCATAGTTTATCTATAATTTATAAAAAAATCCTAATTTTCTCAACTGGTAACTGCCAGAACTGATTGGGAAAGATGATAAGAAATGTCTGAAAGGAATTTATACACAATATACTCTAGAATTATGTAGATTTATCAAGGAAATTCTTGTAATTTCATTTGCAATAGAACAGAGTAGGCTATCCAAATTTATATCGTAACTATTTATAACCTCCAAGTTAGAAATAGGATGAATAACATTGACATATCTATTTTTATAACATGCCACATGCCTGCCTTGCTTTTCATATTACTGACATGTGATGCTCACTCAAGCATGGCCTTATTAATATTCTGAAATATCTATCTATCTATATACATCTCCATTCCAAGTATATGTGTCTACATTTTAGTAAAGCCTTATTCAACATTAAGACTTGAAATGTTACTTGTGATTATACAGTGGGTTGCCAAATTAATAGGAACAGTCACGAAATATTCGTTTTTTGTAAAACATTGGTTTATAATTAATTAAAAACGTCACTTTAGGCTATAATTATATTTAATAATATCAGACACATATCTTATAATGAATTTAGACTATAATAATTTAATATTTGAACAACTAGAAAATATAAACAAGTATAATAAAAATGATGATGGGAAATTATTAGTATTTTGTCACATTTCCTTTTGCTTCTATCAGTGCTTGAATCCGCCTCGGCATACTTTCAATACACTGTTTAGCACTTTCTTTTATTTTGGGATTGTGAAACCATACATTTATTAATTTTTCAATTAGTTTTACTTTGGTAGTTATGATTTCCTTAGCAATTTCCGCCTTGGTAATTTCCCACAAGTTTTCTATGGGATTCATATCAGGAGAATTGCCAGGCCAAGGTAAAACTGGAATGTTGTGGTCTTCCAAAAATTTGGTTACACTCCTCGCTTTATGACATGGAGCTGAATCGTGCATAAACACGAATTCCTCCCCATTCGGGAACCATTCCTGAAGTTGCGGCAACAGGCGAGTTTCTAATACTTGCTTGTATTGGTCCTGTCTCATGGTTCCCTGGACGATATAGAGGCGCCCAACTCCTTTTGCGCTGATGACAGACCATACCATTATTTTTACAGGGTGTTTAATTCGTTCCACTATGCAATCAGGATGAAATTTCTCGCCTGGGCGCTGCCTCACGAAGTTACTTTTGTTGGCCAGAATTTCAAAAGTAGACTCGTTTGAGAAACATACCTAAAAAAATATAGAAACTATTTATAATTTTTGTAAATATGATTTTATGTGTTACATAAAATCATATTTACAAATAAAATTAACCATAGAACTGACCTTATTCCAGTCTTCAACAGTTTTCAGGCGGTGCTCACGAGCCCAAGCAAGCCTTTTCTTTTTCATCGCCTCTGTTAATCGGGGTTTCTTAACTGGACGATGACCTGTCAGGCCTTCCTCTGCCAACCTTCGCTGTACAGTTCTTTTTGAAACACGTATTCCAGATTCCTGTACTATCTGAGTTAAAAATCCAGCACTTTTCTTTCTGTTTTGCAAGCAGATATCTCGAATTTTCCTATCGGAACGTGTTGTTGTGATACGTTTTCTGCCACATTTGCCTTTTCTTTTGGGCGAAAGTGGCTGATTTTGATCTAAATTTATTTTTATTTTATTGACGGCAGATTTCGATATCCCGGCCAGTTGTGCTATCATCCTCTGAGAGTGATTTGTGTGTAGGAGAAGGGTTTTAACCTTGGATTTTTTTCTCGGAGTCAAATCTACCCCTCGACCCATAGCCAAAGCTGAAAATATAAAAATAAATTAAAATTGTTCTAAAATCCGCTCCAAAATACTTTAATTTTAATTATAGTAAAATATTACTTACTTGCAGGTATTGATTATTTCACAAAACCACTAAAGAACTGTTTAAAAGAATAATTTACGTGTTTCACTTTTACACGTGTGAACGACTGTGTGTCTCTCCCGTCATTAAAATATATTTCCAAAATAAACAAATCTCTCAGCACTTGAAATTCACTTTGAATTTGAGTTATAGAGACAAGGTGAACATAAAAACATATCAGCAAAAAACTTTTACCACTTAAAAACGTAGTCAAGACCACTTGAAGAACAAAAATTATAAAAAATGTGACTGTCCCTATTAATTTGGCAACCCACTGTATGTTCAAATGTATTTTTTACACTTTATGGCCTCCTAAATCCTTTTGTTTATTCTATTTTGGGTAATTGATATCCAGTTGTGCCTTTTGTCAAATTTATACCTTCCTATAGGTCTTTTGCAGCCCACTCCAATTTATTCTTACACCATCAATCTGACTTCTAGCCCACATGTCCTGCCCACTGCCATTTTAACTTCACCACCCTCTTAGTAACATTCAAAGCCACTTGTTTTTTTTAAATTTATATATTCTACTAGCTGTCCCGGCAAACATTGTTTTGCCTTAAAATAAAAAAAAATATTTAGGGGTGGACTACCGTCCAACCGTAAATATTTATTAGGGGTACCTAACATTTAGGGGGCTGAAAATAGATATTGGCTGATTCTCAGACCTACTCAATATGCTCACATAATTTCATGAGAATCGGTCAAGCCGTTTCCGAGGAGTATGGGAATGAAAACTGTGACATGAGATTTTATATATAAGATATTGCACTTACAAATATTTGGTACAAATTTTGTTAGCAAAGGAGGATTTACCTATAAAAGAGATCTCTTCCAATCTACCCAAATATAAAAACATTTCATCCATTCACTCCATGTGGGATTCATTAACTTATTGTACATGATTGACTATTACCATAATATATATATTATATTATGTTAGGGTAATATAGGGCCTGTGTTAATTCCTGGTGGTCTCACTGTGAGGGGCTGACATAACCAGTAGCTGACATAAAAGTAACATTCTATTTTAATACTTTGAAAACTTATCTCTATATTCCCTGACTCCATAGGCTGAGCTGACTCCAACCGAATTTGAAATTTTTTTTTATCCTACCTAAGACAGATGTAAAAAAAATCCTGCCGAATAATCCTCATATGTATT